TGGCTGACCACCGCCCAGCATATGACTATTCCGATTCGATTCTCTCGATCCTCGCACCGTCCTTATAAATAACAATGAAAAAAAAAAAAAAAAGAAAGAAAAATCTCACAGTACTACCTTTTATACATTCATAAACAGAAACAAATTAAGCAGAAGGTGAATTCTCTCACAAGGGTTTTATAAAAGATAGCTGTATGGTGAATTTCTATTAATTTATTTTCGGTGGAGGATCTGTTTGTCAATCTCAAGGAAATTTTTTAAAAAGAAAAATAATGAGAAAAAACAGCAATATTTTTCCCCTTTTCTCTTTAGCCGTGGAATCTTCAGGGGCTTGATTTTCTTTCAATTAAAATATTTTTTAATTGGGTTGGTTGGTTCAAAAAATGAAAAAAAAAAGGAGCACAGGGTTATCTCAGTAATAATGAAATGTTCGCACATAAAAAAATGAGTAATGATAAGAGGACGAAAATTTGAGAAAAAATTTAACATCAACTACTTATTATCATTTTTATTATTAAATTAATTAATATATAATATTATAAATTTTAAAAATTTTAAAAAATATTAATTATTAAATAATATAAATTTTATTTTTAATTTTTTAAATAAGTTGCTTATGTCATTATTAATATCAAATTTTGATCTACAATTAAAAATATAGAATAAAAACAATAATACAAGAGAGTTTAGTGCAGCGTAGGTTACTGCATGTTATTTTTTAAAATTTTTTTTAGAATAAGTTATCTAAAAATTTATTTTATAATTAATATTTTAAAAAATTAATTGTTAGGTTAAATACTCTATTTATGAAAATTATATATATCAATTTTAAATTAATTGAATATTTATAATTTTTTATCAAAAGAATTTTATTTTGATATATATTTAATAGTAATAAATTTTATATAATTAAAGTATTAGTTAGACTTATATACTAAATTATTTTAAAAATTGACATGTAAAATCTATTTGAATAAAACATTTAATTTACCTATTAAGTTTTTAAAATATTAATTAAAATACAATATTTTTAGAATATCCTCCATAGAAAATATCAAAAACACTTTTTCTTATAGAAACTTTTTTTTTATACTAATCCATTAGATTTGAACTTGTAAATTTTAATTATTAACAACAAAATCTAAACTATTCATCACTGAAATATCTTTACAAGACGCTTTATAAATAAAATAAAAATAAATAAATACTTATCCTATTTAATTTTAGTAGTTTTAATTTATTTTTTATTTTATTTTTCAAACATTAATTTCAAACAAAAATTAACAAAACATATAAATGGCAATTAATTTTTTTATAAATGTATTTGCTTTTTCGTTTCATTTCATTAAAAAAATTAATAATCATTTATATTATGTTAAAATTTTATATAAAATTAATTTTTAAAAAATTAAAAAAATTAAATTAAAACAACTAAAATTTGAATGAAGGTACTACGTAGGAAAAGATTTAACAAGAAGAACAAATTAATTAAGAGACGATGGTGATGATAAATTTGGTAAATGACTAAATGTCTGCCTAACTAAATTTAGTTAAAGCCGGTCTATGTTGGTCAGCATTATGTACTTTTTTCTTTCCTTTAGTTTTTCCTTTTTTTCCCGGTGGAGATAAGGGTGGAGATGAAGATCAAACTTTGCTCCTTTTTTTTTTCTTTTTTCTTTTTTTTTTTTGTTGGCGTGGGGGGTCGATTAGGATTCCTGAGGCCGTTGGCTATATCTGAAATGATCATACTACCCCTAACATGGATCATATGTACAAACAACCCCTCAAATAATTGAGCGTAATTTTCTTTCATCTTCACACTTTACAAAGAGGATTTAATTAATTTCTTTGAGAGAAGAAATCATAGCATCCTGTAATTAAAAATGTAAAAATATATACTTAGCCATATGATGGATGAGTGCAAAATTAGCTAAGTTTTTATTGGTTGAACTTACATTCTTAATGTGAAAAATGTGTATTGATTATTTGTTAATATATGATTTAAGACCACATATTTCATCATATTAATTTGTATGATGTGTGATTTAAATTTAAATTTTTTTTATTAAGCTAATGTTGTTACTAAATTACTTCAATCATTAATCATTATTTGTTTAATATTAATTACTACTTATACAGGTTTGTTTTTCTACGAGAGATCAAAATTTTATGGAATAAATTAAAGATTAAAATCTAAAGTTCCATAGATTGTCTTTCCGGCTGTTTGCTACCTAGTTCATTGTTTGGGTTCTCTCATGTAACTTTGGTCCATAAGCCCTTGATGAGCATGCATGCATGGTTGATAGTTGTGGTTTATTGTTTTCTTTCATTCTTTCAAATTATTTTCTAGACTCGTGATTTCATCTATTAATTTGTTATGTAACCATATTAAATGGTGGCGCTTTTACAGTTATGGTTAGTCTTGTGAGCCTTGGTACTCTTAATATATATTACTATCAATTATTTCATTGCATTACTAACAAAAGCTCAATATCAACTATTACATTACCAATGATGTTTTTGACCATTGATAAAGACTAAAGCTTCAAATTTTTTAGATTGTGAGTTTAACTTCTATATATGTCAGGTTCTTTACAGTTTTTTTTTTTTTTACAATAATTAGTATATTATTTGATTCAACACACTTAACAATACTCATCAATTCAATCATTAAAAAACTAATATTTTTAAATTTGAATTTAAGGCGTGAAAATTTTCAATGACAAATTTTAATAACTGAACTGATAAGTGTTATTAAGTGTGTTGAATTGAAGGGTGTACCAATCATTTTTTTTTTTTCTGTTTTGATTTTGTATCATGCTTTTTTTTTTCTTTTTTTTTTGATATTTAGGATTTGGATGTGTTCTTGAATTGAACGATCTTAAAAGTACATCCGAATCAGCTTAGTGCATTTAAAAAAATTAAATTCTTTATGTATTAGAGTCTCAATACTTAAATTTTGAATCTGACATATAATACAATACTTACTTATAAATGGATCCAACCCTTAAATTAATTTTATAGCATGCTTGCATACAATTCATTTATTATAATTGTACTCTACTCTCTAATTGTTGCAATACTAAATAACGAGCTCGTTGCTAATCTACATATATACGAAATTGCTTGTGGGATTAAGAGGGCCTACAGGAGAGCGGAGCGTGACCGAATAAAATCAGAGGTTTGAAAAAATATTTTTGATTTATATAATTGAGGTATTGAGAAAAACTTTGGGCTAAAAATTATGTTAAAAATGAGGTTAAACCCTTAATTTAGTCATTCAATTATTATACAAACCCTTAATTTGATCACTAAACTAAAAAAAATCCTTAATTTGGTCCTTATTGATTACTAATTTGACCCCAAGTAGATCCTTCCGTATAAAAATAACTTACGTGTTTTATTATTAACGTAATACGTAGCCATTAAGTAATAGTTTTCTGTCAGTAAATAATAAACATGTTAGTTATTTTTTTACGAAAAGACCAACCTAGGGTCAAATAGGTAAACAGGAAGGACTAAATCAAGAATTTTCTTAGTTTAGGGACCAAATCCAAGGTTCGCACAATAATTGATAGATCAAATTAAAAGTTTAATCTAAAAAAGGACTTAGGGAGTGCGATCCAATGTTGAATTAAACTCGTTAGATAAAGATCATGTTATGTATCAGGCCAAGCCATTTATGAAATGAATTAAAATGAGGTCAGCATTTCAGTTGAATAAAGACCCACCATAATAAATTAGACAATAATTAATATATCCTCCAATTTAACATATTTCACAATACACTCATTAAAAAAATTATTATTTTTAAATTTAAATTAAAGATGAAAAAACTAAAAATTATATATTTTAATGATTAAATCAATAGGTGTTATAAATTAAATAAGAAGTTATACCAATCATTTTCTTAATAAATAAGATCCAAGAATTGGATGGCGAAGATCTTCACAAAAATCAGGCCATGCTTTTGCTGGGAAATTTGGAATTATTGGGAAATGGGGGACCATCGAACACACTAATGTGGGATATGAGTGCCCGTACTGAATGCTGTATTTTGTTGATTGTGATTTCAAATTCCAGGCCCCCACCTTTATAATTGCAACAGGAAAGGACAATGACTTCCCATTGGTGATAATGTTGTTGGGAGCTGATTTTTTTTTTTTTTAACCTTATCATAATATATCTGATTAGTTTCATGTTTTATTTTCTTCATTATTCCAATTTGATTTCAAAAGAAAAATGTACTTCTAAGGCTTTTAGTTCGTGTTTTTGAATGCTAGTCTTTATGCAACATTCTAAGACTTTAGAGACTGTTCTGTGACATATAGAAAATTTGAAGCACTTTTTTTAATTAAAATACTCTTTTTGTCACAAAATAATTGTTGTTTTTTTAGTTTGAATTTACTATAAATTTTTTTTTTTTCATTTTCTAAGATAGATAAATATTTTTTTTCTTATTTTAATCATATTATTATCTATTCATTTTAACTAATCATTCAATTATAAAAAAAATCTTTTTTTATCTTTTATTTTTTTAAAAAAGTATTACAAATAAATACAAATATTATTATCAAATTCTTAATTTTAAAAAATAAATAATAAAATAATTATTATTTTAAAACAGAATAAGTAAAAAATAAGCTCTAGCATGATTCACGAAAACTAACTTATAACATCATTCGACCACTATACTAAGAAAGGGGACCAAATAAACCAACATAAGAAGTCAAACTCACATCTCTAATCTATAATTACAAGGACAAAAAACACATATATAATTCTCTAGGTAAGTCCATATATATTGTTGATGAAGCAATCTTGTTATTCTTGTACCGCAAGTCTAAAATACAATATTTTTACTGAGGGAAGAAACTTTGCTTCGTCGGCACAACCTCTTTAGATACCTTTGTAGAATACTAGCTACTTTTTAGCTGTATAGATGCTCCCCTACCCAACTAGTTTACACCAACTGTAAATCTCTCTAATATTTATGTGATTTTAATTTTTTCCTCTCATAAATTTATTAGTATTTTGGGATTATAAAAAAGAAAGCATAGATCATCTGCACAACGGCTGCAACTGCCATTTGTATAATTTTTTCTTTTTCTTTTTCTTTTTTTTAAACAAACGCTTTCACATGGCACCATTTGAGATGTCTGCGGAAGTTTGCCTTATTATATACTGAGATGGAAAATGATATTTGAACCTCCGCGTGAAGAAATTAATTACAATGATTTCAAAGAATAGCTGCTCGTTCGGCATGGTTTTCAGAACGACTTCCCCACTACAGAAGTTGAAGTTAAACTAAAAATAATGTACTTATAGCATTTACAAGATTAGAAATTGAATTATAAAAATATTGAGAAGATTCATCTTGTTAGAGATATGAGAGGAAGAAGCAGAGAGAGAGGCAGGGGATCAGGCAAAGGACACCGGATATGGACGAGACGGACGACACTGGGCAGAGCGTATGAGAGACCCATAGAGCACAACAGGCAAAGACGGGGTCTGGACATCAGCCAGAGAAGGGAGAACAGGAATCAGAGGAAGTTTGCTGAGTGGGGGTATGATGAGGGGATGTACAAGCAAGCCACGGCCTTCTTTTTCACCAACTTCCCAGATGAATGGAGTTATGCAGAGATGTGGAAGACTTTCGGAAAATATGGCAGAGTATATGCAGTTTACAGCCCACTAAGAAAATCTAGGAATGGGAAAAGGTTCGGGTTTGTAAGGTTCCTCGAGGTGAAGAACCCAAAGGTTCTGGAAAGTCAATTAGATAAGATAAGGATAGATGGATGCAAAATCTGGGTGAACCTAGCTAAATACCCAGTGGAAGCTCTAGAGACGAAGGTGAGTAGGATCCCGGTTGCAACAAGTAAAGTGGTTAAGGGGAAGTCCTATGCTGAAGCAGTTAGAGGGCAGGAAAAGGAGGGTTCTAGGCCTGGTGATGATCACCCATTATCAACTGAACCAAATAGAGATTGAAGTGCTCGCAGCGGTAGTCGGAAACAATGGAACAACCAGCAAGAATGGAGAAAGAAGGAGGAAGGGGAAGCATGGGTGGGTATGGAGTACAATGTTGAGGAGGAAGACCTTGAGTGGCTGCGAGACTGCTATGTTGGAGTAGCTCACTCCGTTGAAATAGTTCCAATCCTCCAGGAAAGATTTTATATGGAAGGATACTTCACATGCCGTCTAAGGGCTATGGGAGGCAAATTGATATTATTGGACTGTGAGGATAAGGGGGAGTTAAAAGAACTAGTTCAGGGTGCAGCCAGCTGGTTAAGCCAATGGTTTTCAGAAATCAAGCCATGGTCTCCAATAACGGTAGCAAAGGAAAGGTTTGTTTGGTTAAGGTGCCTGGGAGTCCCTTTGCATGCGTGGGGGCCAGTGTTCTTTGAGTCAATGGTGGCAGCATGGGGGAAATTTATCAGCCTGGATGACAATACTAGCAAGAAAAGAAGATTTGATGTGGCTCGAATCCTTATCTCCACGTCGATTATGGAGTCAATCTCAGTTAAAAGGCAGATCAAAGTGAATGGAGTCCTATACAATCTCAGGTTCACGGAAGAAGAAATGTCCAACAGCCTATTCTCTATGAAATATGATTTCCTGCTAAGCTTCAAGAGTGATACTGAGTATGAAGAATCATGGTCGGAATGATTAAATTTTGAGGAAGAACCAAGAGAGATTGGCCGAGAAGTTCTCAGGGCTTCTAGCGCCGGTGATGGTGACACGGTAGGGTCTATACCAGACCAGGCAAGGAAGAACAAACGGGTGTCTGCAATTCCGGTTTCCGAGGCACATTTTGAATTTGAAGGAGATATGCAAGAAGATATCGGTCAGAAAAAGAAGGATACGATCTATTACAGCTGGATGGGGGAAGAGGAGTCAATTGAAGTGGTTGCAGACAGTCTACAGGAATGCTTAGCAGGTAGTGACGTGGGAAGCAGAGATGAAGAAGTAACTCCAGTGGTTGAGTCGCAAAACCGGGTCAGCTCAGACCCAATTGAAGCCTCCAATGATGAAGTAAGGTTCGGATGGGCTAGGCCCAACTCCAATCTATCAGCCCATTCCCATCTAAAGGTGGAGGCCCGAATGTGGAGACCAAGGACTGTGAGACCACCGGCAGTAGCAAACATAATCATCTGGAGGCACAACAGGGGATTAGCTCTTTCAGACATAATTTAAAAGTCAAAAAAGGTAAAAAGAGAGTGGGATTGTCACGGGAAGAAAGCAGGGAGGCCTCGACAGATCTAGAAGTCGCTGAAGGGCTCGGAGGGGAGCGGAGGGATCTGAGCGGCAAGGAAGGGATGGCAACAAGAAGCAAACCGGACATAATGAAAAAGAAGAAGAAGGCATTATTGTGCAGATCCGTGTATCAAAAAGCCAACATCCTGGGTTTGATGAGCCTTAAGAAGAAAACCAAAAGCGGAGCAAGGCCAAAGAAAGCTCCAAGTCAAGAGTTGCCGAGCTTCATGCCGAATTCAAGCTATTCCGTGGCGGGAGGGTCTGTTGGGGACAGCGGGATTGCAAATTGTAACAGGATGATTAAGGAGCATCCCAGCCGTAGAATTGCAGCAGAGCTGTGGGATTTCGCGAAGCAAATTGGGGTTACTGCAGAGGATGAGGTTGAGACTCTTAGGAATCTTGAAGAAATGGAGAAAAGAGACAGAGAAGCCAAGGAATTGGAGATCCCGAAGACAGGGAGTAAGGAACCGAAGATCAGTATTATTGAGTTATGAATGTCTTAGCTTACAACATTCGAGGAATGGGGGGGGTAGGGAAGAAAAGACACTTGAGGGAGCTAGTTAAGAAGGAAAAGGTGGATTTCCTAGCAATACAAGAAACTAAACTGGGAGGGTTGGACAATAGAATTAGCAGATCAGTGTGGGGAACAGATGAGGTAGATTGGGTAGCCAAGGATGCGGTGGGTATGTCGGGAGGAATAGCTTGCTTTTGGAATTCCAAAGTTATTAGAGCCGCAAGAATTCTTGAGGGAGAGCACTTTATAGGTATAAAAGGGTTGTGGTGCCCTAATAATGAACAAATTGTATTTATAAATGTTTATTCTCCATGTCAACTACCTAGGAAGAGAGTGCTCTGGGAAGAGTTAAGAAGACTAATTCAGAATGGGGGAGAAAAAATCTGCATTATGGGCGACTTCAACACAGTTAGAAAGGCAGAGGAAAGAAAGGGAAGCTCAGGTGTGACCAGAGATATGAGAGAATTCGACAGTTTTATCCAGGCCATGAATTTGGTTGACATGCCGTTAGTGGGTAGGAAGTTCATATGGTACCAAGTAAGGGGCAATTATATGAGCAGAATTGACCGGTTCTTACTCTCAGAAGGGTGGATGTCGAAGTGGGGAGAGGCTAGGCAATGGGGTTTGAGAAGAACTGTGTCCGATCACTGCCTAATTTTACTAAAACACCAGACTGTTGAGTGGGGCCCAAAGCCATTCAGATTCTTTGATTCTTGGCTAGAACAAGAAGGATGTGGTAATCTGATCAAAGAGGTGTGGAATGATACCCAAATCCAAGGGTGGGCAGGCTTCCGACTCAAAGAAAAGTTGAAGGCAACCAAGGAAGCTTTAAGGAAGTGGAGCAAGAATTTAATTCCAGCTTTGGACCTCAAAGTAAATAATGCTTCTTCAACCATAGCCAGAATTGATATGAAGGGGGAAGTGGCGCAATTGTCAGAGGAAGAAATTGACAGGAGAAGAGAAGCGTTCATTCAGATTTGGGAGAGTCTGAAAAGTAAGGAGAGCATGTTGCAACAGAAATCAAGGAAAGTTTGGCTGGCTCAAGGGGATGCCAATACCAAGTTCTTCCACAACTGCGTGAAGGGTAGATGGAGAAGGGCAGAAATGAATAGCATACAGATAAAAGGGGTCCAAATTAGGGATGCCATCAGAGTGAAAGAGGAAATTGCCCGATATTTTGAGGAATTGTATGCTGAGGAGAAAAAGATTAGACCTACACTCGATGGGCTGGCTTTCAAACAACTCACATGGGAAGAAAATGTAAACCTTATCTCTCCCTTTAATGAGGAGGAGATAAAGATAGTAGTAGGAGAATGTGACAGCTCGAAGGCCCCGGGTCCAGATGGATTCAACTTCAGGTTTGTCAAATCTGAATGGGATGTAATTAAAGCGGATGTGGTGAGCTTCCTGCAAGAATTCCAGACAAATGGCAAACTGGTGAGAGGTCTAAACACTTCTTTTACTGTCCTTGTGCCAAAAGTAGAAAATCCAGTTCAGATTGAGGAATATAGACCCATTTCTCTTGTTGGAGTGATGTATAAAATCTTGGCTAAGCTTTTAGCCAATCGGTTGCAGGAGGTGCTTGGGAACAAAATCGGGGAGCAACAGATGGCTTTCCTTAAGGGAAGACAGCTGATGGATGGAGTAGTCATAGCTAACGAGGTGATTGATGAAGCAAAAAAGAAAAGGAAGAAAGCTTTTTTGTTCAAAATAGATTTCGAGAAAGCTTATGATAAAGTAAGTTGGTCCTTTCTTGATCACATGATGCAGAAGATGGGTTTCTGTGAGAAATGGAGGTTGTGGATCCAAGAATGCTTACGATCTAGCTTGGTATCAATCCTAGTTAATGGCAGCCCAAGCAGGCAATTCAATGTGTCAAGAGGTCTGAGGCAGGGGGACCCGTTATCTCCGTTCCTGTTTTTGATTATTGCAGAGGGTTTGAATGGGCTGGTGACAGAGGCTATCAAAAATGGGAAGTTAGAAGGCGTGGAGGTGGGAAATAGAAGTTTTAGTATTTCACACTTACAATATGCAGACGACACGATTCTGTTTGGTAAGGCTACTGAAGAAAATGTGTGGGCAATGAAAGGAATCTTGAGAGCATTTGAACTAGTATCGGGTCTCAAAATCAACTTCAATAAAAGCCAACTAGTGGGAATTGGCGTGGAGGATGATTGGCTGAACAAAATGTCATGGGTCTTGTGTTGCAAAAAAGGTACTTTGCCATTCAAGTACCTCAGTATCACAATTGGAGGTAGTTGCAAAAGGTTCGCTTTTTGGAAACCAATGGTAGACATATTTGAAAGGAAGCTAGCTACATGGAAAGGCAGATATTTATCTCTAGGTGGCCGGATTACGCTTATTAACTCAGTGCTGTCAAGTCTCCCCGTCTTCTGGATGTCGATGTACCTGGTCCCAAAAGGTACAATCCTTTTACTTGACAAAATTCGTAGAAAATTCTTGTGGGGTGGGGCTGAGAGGGAGAAGAGGATTAACTGGGTTAAATGGGAAAATGTGTGTAAAGAAAAACAATTCGGTGGTCTGGGGGTTAAAGACCTAAGGAAGTTTAACCTTGCTTTGTTAGGTAAGTGGTGGGGGAGGCTAGTGAGGGGAGATAATGGGCTCTGGGGTAAGGTTATTTTTGAGAAGTACGGGAAGGTAGGGGAATCTACTTATAATTGGCTGAGGGAGGGTTTCAATTATGGGTCTGCATGGTGGAGGGACATTTGTAGGTTAAGCGATATGGAAGGTAATAAAAAAGGGTGGCTTGCGGATGGTTTAGAAATTAGAGTGGGGGACGGAAAAGATATGAGCTTTTGGTGGGATGAGTGGTGTGGGGGGGTGAGTCTCGCCAACAAGTTTCCTAGATTATATCTAATCTCTGCAGGAAAAGATAAAAGGATTTCCCAAATGAGAAGTTGGTAGGATGACTCATGGAAGTGGGACTTGAAGTGGAGAAGAAATCTATTCAGCTGGGAGGAACACCAGGAGGAGGCACTCAAGGCTGTGATCCAAAACACCAAAATAGTAGATGGAAAATCATATGTGAGGGACTAGGTACATAGCAAGGATGGAATATACACAACAAAATCAGCATACCAGGCCTTGACAAGGGATCACAGGACAGTCCAGCAGAGTCCAACAATTAGTAAAGTTTGGCAGGAGTTCATCCCGAGCAAAATCTCCGTTTTTGCCTGGCAAGTGCTGCAAGATAAGATCCCAACTAAGATGAACCTGTTGAAGAGGGGGATCATTCAAGACATCACAGAGAGTAAGTGTGTTCTTTGTGGCTTAGCAAGTGAAGATTCCAATCATCTCTTTATTCATTGTAAAATTGCGTGGGAACTATGGAATAGTTGCTATAGGTGGTGGGGTAGTAAGCAGGTGTTAGACAAAGATTGTGGGAGGATGTTTGAACAGCACCCCTTCATATTCAACATTAAAGAGGTGAGGGGGGGCTGGGAATGCATTTGGTTCTCTGTTGTTTGGTCTATCTGGTTAGCTAGAAATGAAAAGCTATTTAGAGGTAAAGAGGTAGAGGCCGGAAGATTATTGGAATTGGTCCAGGTGAGGGCCTTTAAATGGATCAAAGGCAAAAGGAGAGGAAGCCTGTTCACCGTATCAGACTGGATCCTCAATCCAGTAAGTTGCTTGAATCCGTCCCTGGTAGTTTAAGAAGCCCATCTCTGATGTAAATCTAAGGCAGTTAAAAAAGAGCCCTGCCATTTCAAGTCACAGGGGTTCATAGCTGGCCTGTTTTAAATCATGTAAAGGGTTCGGAGTACCCCCTGTACTCCAAATCAATGATTTCATTTTGCCTTTCAAAAAAAAAAAGAAATTGAATTATAAATTTATTAACTTATTTTATGGAGAAAGAATCTATTGACAAATAAATTTTATATATCATATTTAAATAAAGTTTTAATCATTTATTATTTTATTTTTAATAATTAAAATTTATCATTTTTTTAGATAAAAAATAATTATTTTTAATAAATATAAATAAATTTTAATTATTAAAAATAAAAAAATAAATAATTAAAATTTTATGTAAATATATTGTATAAAACATATATATATAAATGAATTGCTATTCTATTTCATGAATAGAAGGCATTTTAAAGCCTTACTCAAATTCAACTTCTAAGAAAGCTTTATATCAAAGACTGTCTATGAATTAATCAGAAAAGGAAAGAAAATACCATCTTATTATTGTTCTTTTTTGTTGGCTCAAGACAATCATCAGACCAGCCTTGGGATCAAGTTCTTAAATTTTTATTGCAGAAATTAAGACCAACCTAGGAAAACCCAGATAAACTTTTCACCAGTACTACCTTTTCAGCGGAGAATGCCATACGTTGTGTCAAAAAATGGTATATGGACATATTTTAAAACAGGAAGTAATGATTAGTGTCAGGTAACAGGTCTTTCATTTGCTTTCTTACTAATATCCAGCTTAACTAGTTGTTATCAAAGCGCACCTGAATTTTGTGACGAGGTGTTTATATGCCACTTCTTAAGATGCGTCCTCCATCTTAAAATTAGAGTATGAATCTTTCCTTCCCAAATTATAATCTATTAAAATAAAAAAAAATAATTATCATCAAAGCATAAAATTAAAAATTTCACTTTCAAATCTTATTTTAAATTCTTTAAATTTAGGATGCAGTGTTATGTAGATTTGTATATTAATTGATATATTTTTAAATTTAATATATTTTATAATATATTAATTAAAAAAATTTTATTTTTTAATTTTAAATTAAAAATAAAAAATTTAAAAATACAATCATATATAATATATAAAAATTTATTAAATTAAATTATATTTTAATAATTAAAATGATTAAATATTAAAAATATATATCAAATTAAAAAATATATCAATTATTTTTTAATAGATTTACCTCTAAGTGGTTCCTCATGCCATGCCAGGTGTCTGTGTCGTTCATCTTCCACCCAAACTCTGGAAAAGAGAAAGCAAGATTTGAGATGTGAGCGAAATTATTAATTAATCAAAAGGCAAATTACCCAAATTCACCTTCAAAATATAGTAATATGAATGGATTTACCCCTAAATAAAAAACGAAGACAATTTTACTCATAAAATTTTTAATTTGAATAAATTACTCCAAATTTAACATACGACATCATCTAACATAAGACAAATTGTTAAAGTCAGATGACGACAAATTAATAGATTGTTAATGTCAAATAACTTCACACTTTAAATTTGAAGTGATTTGTCCAAATCAAAAATTTTATAAGTGAATTTATCCATATTTTTTATTCGAAAATAAATCCATCTCTATCACTATATTTTTGAGATAAATTTAGATATTCTACCGATTTTAAAAATGGGTAGATTGTCATCTTGCTGAGATCTATTTGGGAAAAACCAAAAAACATACGGAAACATTGAATGGCTAACAGTATTGGTGGCTGCCATGACTTTTATTTACTGGCCCATACCATATTATCATGTACAAAAAATTAAAAATCACATGGTGGGCATGTGCTGTGAATGTACACTTACATATGCTGTCTACCATGTGGTTTAACCCTTATATTTATCTGGCAACAGCTAAGCACCCACCAAAGTTGATACTTTTCTTTCCTTATCTTTCCCTCTTTTTACCCGAAAAACATGAGAACTTAGCAACAGACATCACACATTGCTAAAGGAGCCCACCAAGCCTAAAACAAGTCACTTCAAGCAGTCTCAATCTCATGAAATGTATCTTTTTCTCGATTGAAAAGAAAAGGAAGTTATAGATGCATAGTACTTCTATCACATTTGTGTTTTTATGACATTTTTATAGGGAATATGTAAAAAAAAAAAAAAAAAGTAATAAAATAGGCAATTACAATGATTAAAGTTTAAGCGGCTGCTGTATTTTAATCAACATCCTAATGAGTACTTTGATAGAATCTTCTATAGTGGTTTGTTCAACCTAATGTCAATTCTAATGTTTTCTATTCAAGCATATAATAAGAGTAACAAATCAAAACTTCAGCCAGGGTTAAAGAAATTATGTGGTCTAAAGGTGATTGCAGGAGTAAATGTCAAGCAATCACAATCATGTGATGAGATTTCACTCTAATAATGCGGATGCTTAATTGGAACATGGAAGCATGTGCATGTGCATAACAATGCCAAACGCTGGTAAAATGTTAAAATGACGCTGAAGCTTTTTATGGTTAAGATGTCATGATTTAGCAATGGATTAACAAAAAACCGTGATTGCCAAAGTACAGAATTGGTAAAAGAGGTCACTTTAGATAGACCCGTGAGGGGTAATGAGAGTACCCAAGAAGCCCATATTTAGCAACAAGGGTGGAGGTCCCCATGTTAAAGGGAAAGAATACTAACAAAAATGACGTTCCTCTCACGTCCACTTCTTTTTCCCTTTGTTACTCATGTCCATTTCTCTTGATGTGATGCACAAAATGGATAACAGGATAAGTCTTTGCCATGAGACTTTTGTGCTTGGGAACGCTCTAATGGTCAACTTCCAAATGGCCCACAGAGAAAATTTTCATCCCACTCTAATCTAAAGCTTAGCACCAAAAACTAGCAGCCAAAAAAAAAACCACCAAGCACTGACCAAAGTATGGATTCGTAATGATTGAAATTTAACGTTTAGGATGCACTAACAGTCTCATCATCTGGTAAAGCCAAAGGCAAAACAGTATCAGACACTAGTTAGAAGTTAAACTGAAGCTTACCGGGATAGAGAATGAAAAGGCTTTTTTCAGGCACAGCATGGAAAGCAAAGCTCATCTTGAAGCCGTTATCTTCATAGCTTTTCTCTCATTGCTTTGGCTAATGTGATACTGAATTTGAAAAGTGTGAACCACAGATAAAATCGCTCCTGCCAAAAGTTGATGAGCCAATTGATCTTCGATATATGCAACTGTTCCTCTCCGTAATAGTGTTTAATCTGCCACATTTATAACCTGTCCTGATAATAGTACCACATATTATTTCAATGGTGTAGACCAGTATATCAAAATCCAGATTATTACATAAAACAAAGAAAAATCATGAAACATGTCAGCTGCAGAAATTTTTAAATATTTAGCAGTAACACATATACTTGAAACTTGTAGGAAATAAAATATTTTACTAGTATAATATCTCAATAGACCAACAACATATATGAGAGTGATATTCTTGAAAACTAAAAATTTCAAAATCATATTTATTACAAAATGTACTAACAATTGTGGAGTCTATATGAACCCTTCAACCACTTTCTGTCCTCTGCTGGCCCCTTTTTCTGGAATCTGGCCGAAGCTGCACGAGGGCAGAAATTACACCAACGCACAAAATTAAATTTAAGAGAATACGACCGTATATGGAAACAGAATAATGGGGGAAAAACGCAGCAGATTGTCACAATTAGAGTGTTAATATGGGAAGCGATTAATATGCAACTAATGAAAGCCATTCCCTGGTTTAATTACGACATTGTTTGACAAATGACAGCTTAATGTCATGTAAATAGGCATTATGCAAGGCTGAGGCTTGTGCAGCAATTGCTACATTATTTGCATAACGAAAAATAGTAACAAGTCCTTTCAGAGATCTATTTTAAGAGTAAAAGTACGAGCAAGATTAGTAAAACCAATCTTTTTAACAGGTAAATGAAAAGTACTAAAAAACATAATTCTGCTCAGATTAGAAGGTTGACAGAAACTATAAAGACGGTAGTTAAGTATTATTGCAATCCCAGTCACCTGTAACTTACCGGTCACTTTCTAATACATAGAGAGTCATTTCAAGAATTTTTCAACAGCAAGAAAAACAAACATAACAGGAAAAAAATTTGAGATTTAGACTCTATTTCCTCTTTAGGAATAATCAACAGCATGACATCTTCTGCTAGAAAACTATGGTATCAGTAAAATTTCATGCATGCAGAAGACCAACATATCCCAGCACGCACACATTCTTAAGCGTGTTGCCATCATGAATTACTAGCATCAATTTGGAAATAAATATACTTTGTGGCCAGTGGGGTTTCTTGCTCAACGTATCTCGAGGTTGAAGGTTCAAATGTCATTGCCCCCAACGTCCCTTTCTCAGTTAAAAAGTACTAACAAGAAGTCAAAAAAATGGCAAAAGGTTATAAACCTAAATAATATTAATTAGGAAAATAAGACAAGATATATGGATGAAAACATTGTCCAAATAATAGGGTTGGTAGATTTGCAAACACTAATTATTTATTTCACATCATGAAGCTAGACTAAAGCACTTACCATAAGTAGCTTAAAATGTTTGGAGATTTGCATTAACCTGATATATAAGACAGTTCAAAGCTCCTGTTAACATTTTATCATGAAAGGACTATATATCTACAGGTTGTATTTTATAGCAAAACAGGGAGTGTGTTAAATTAGTAATTTGTCCTGGGTGACCATTCAATAGGACAAGAACACAACAGATATCAAACAACTTTTGCATCTGCTACCCTTCTAACACTAGCACACAAAACCATAACACAATCTAAATGAAAAGTATCTCAAACACTCAAAAACAATGTTTCCATCCAGAGCACCTGCAAATACCAAATTATTCTACCCTTGCAATGTCAATCTGTCAGCAACAATTTGCTTCCTGGAAAAAATAAAAAATAAAAAAAATCATGCAAACAAAGTCTATGGTCATTTTAAGACATAAACACATAAACACACTACATGTTAAATGATACAACAGAGAAATAACTAAATCCCACTGAAAATTGCGCGGCCGATAGATCATCATTTGTTGCTTACCCCTCACCTGCTTTAACAATTTGAATGAGGATAGACACATCAGGGAACATTTTCCTGCCAATCATTCTCAACTCTACAAATATTGCAGGCACATTTATAACATCAAAGTCATCATCACGAGCTGCTAGTTTCCCTGTTTACTTAGATGCTGCCAACTAAATACAGAAATAATTTTGCCTAAATATGAAG